CCCCAAAACCCCAAAACCCCAAAACCCCTTCATTTCGAATTTCTCCAATATTAGTAAGTCTTATTCATTTATTGAAATTTAATTATACTATATGACAAAATGTTCTCATTTAATAATCATATCTTAACTTTCCCCGAATTATAAACTTATTTTATTTCTCAAATTCTCGAATCATGCATCTTTCGAACCTCCTCCTATACCTAGCCTGTGCCTTAGCCTTTATGGTTATTAGTGCTGACGCTGCTCTGCTTAAGAGCAAGATAAGCCAAAGTGGACCTGACTACTAGCTTGGTGGCCAATACAATCCAATTCCATCAGTTGAATGCAAGGATACGCGAAATAACAATCAGTTTAAAGTCTTAATGTATCACCCAGATGGAAAGTACTACAAGCAATGCTATAAGTCTTTGGCTTGGTTAAACATGGATGGGTGTGGAAAAGATTACTAATACATTTTTGTTGTGACAACCGTTTCAACAACAACAGGACCTGCAACGATGACAGAATACCCATATGTTATAAATGGTGGCAAGATGTACCCGACCTAAAGAAGACCTGGCTTTACTTCACTTAGCCCCTACCTCCAAACAAACATCAAGAAGTGCAAGATATGAGTCATCTCCAATGTCGATACTTTCAGCTTCTTGAACTCTGATACTTGATTAACTTATTACTTTTGATGTTAAAATTCAGTATTTACTATGAACTTTGCGTTATTAGTGACAAGCTGTCTATAGCTTCATCTGTCTCTGTCATAATGAGTTGCAGATTTTTCCCGTTTCCTCGAGATTTTGCTTACGCTTATAGCAATCTTTGCAAAACCCTAGAATAGCCTTGTTTTTCTTGCATAGAAGGCATTGAGTAATTTTCCATCAGTGCTTGACTAAGTTTTTTCTCATTATTCTTTCTTTCTCTTTCCATCAATTTTATCTCCATATTAAGGAGTTTTGGTAACTAACCTCAATGCTCAAGCAGGAAATAATCATGCTTTAAACGAATAAATTATGTGAATTTAAGAGATAAATATAAGTAGTTTAGTTCAGTCAATATTTGATAGATTACATTTACAGTTCCCTGCAGTAATCTTGTGATACTGTCAATGAGCTTTACTCTTCTACATTTTAAGTAAATCCAACCCTTGCTTAAACATATCTTTACTTTACTGTTCTTTTTGCTCAATAACTATAATTCTTTATTTGTCATTACAATACATTTTACCTATTACTTAATCACGGGGTTTTGGGGTTTTGGGGTTTTGGGGTTTTGGGG